CGCACACGTGGCTGTGCATTGCTGTCACCAGATATCTGATCACTGTGGCTGGTAACCACGATGCTATTGGCGGACGATTTTGTAGGCCCTTGCGACACCTCATTGGCGAACAGATTTCCTTCTTGCCGCGCTGTAACGTCCGCGAACCCAGCACCCGCTTGGGAATGGCTCGCCAGGGCGTCGGGGATTCCGTGGTCCCATCTCTTCGTCTTGGCTCGTAGGGCCATCTCGATTCTCGACAAGCTATTGGCTGTATCGTGCTGACAAATTGTTCCATGCTGACTCAGCGCAGCTGAATCTCTCGAGAATGCCGCCGAGTCGCTTACCTCCAACACCCAGCTTCTCGAACCTCGATGTTAGCGAGACAACGTATAACAGCTTTCTCTTTACTTTCAACCTCCCGTTCACCTCCTAAGGCGTATCAGGCTGATCTAAGCTCAGCAGTAGCCACGCAGGGCATCGATCTTCCGATCAAAGCTGCTTCTAAGGCCGCCGCGTTCTGTGATCCAGGCAGCCTGTCGCGCCATAAGCCACGCAGAACCCTAGCGCGTTACGTCGTCCACCAATGGCGTGCCTAGCTGCTAGCTCCCAAGTCGCCTTCAGAGGCGTGGCTCTCAGCAATTCGCAGGTCAGCATATCTTCATCCACGCAATAGAGCCCACGCCCCGTGCTCTTCCGTTTCTCAGGCTGTTTCAAAGGTCGCAACTTCAGACGCTGTGTAAGCCATGAGAATTCTCGAACCACGCTCTTATTACTCAGGCTGTTTCCCAGGTCGCAGATTCAGTCTTAACGGCGGTATCATGGTGAATGCAGGCGGTCAGCAGCACGAGCGTGGGTAAAAATGCCGCCAGACGATCGGTGGTTCGCTGCAAGGTGGCCTCGCCTGGAGTCGAGAAGGCCGATGCGTCCGCGTCCGCCGGCGAGTACACGCCGACAAGCGACGCGTCCACAATGAACCTCATGTCCGGCGCCATCAACGCGCTCTTCGGCTTCCAGGTAGATTGGACATGTTTCGTAGATCTTGAAAACGAGAAATGAATTTTCAATCGAAGTAGAAACAACTCGAAGGCGTCCTGAATGAACTTCATGATCCCGGGCATGCAGCAACATGATCCCGGGCATGCAGCAACATTAGACAATTGAAATCCTTAATGTACGCATGTTGCGAAGGTCGGATTGAGTGTTTTCTTCTCTCACTCCTTGGCCCCCCTCCGATTCCGTTCCCGTGTCGGCATCGCAGCCTTTTTTCAGGTTTGCAGCGGGAAAGGCGCGCGAGATGATGGTCAAACGAGGGGATGCCATCGGTTTCCCATGGGCGCCGCGTCTCGCGGAGCTCAAGCGGCACGACTGGGACGAGGAGCTGCGATTGGTCGCCGCCACGAGCCGCGTCCCCAGGGACGCCAGCGGGGAGTACGTCTACCCGGAGTACTACACGAAACCGTTCCACGCGTACGAAAAGGGTAACCTTTCGCTGGACGCGGCGCTGGAGGTGGAGCTGGCAGCGAAGGCTGTGCACGCCCCGGTCTTCGACCCCGAGGTAGGTTCCTACCTTTCTATCTTTCTTTATCCGAGGCTCCAGAACCAGTTCTGACTCCTCCAAACACGCTGAAGCGAATCCGACCAGTGCATCTTCGAGAGAAAGCGCAGGTGAAGAAGGAGAGGTCCATTGATTTAGCGCGTTACTCAAAGCAAGTGAGAGCATAGAACACACACCACAAGAAGCTGGTCAAATTCTGGGGTCCCATCCCGTAAACACCTCTCTCCCTCTCCCCTCTGTCCCCGGTTCTTCCCCCCGCCCACCCGTTCCCGCCACCACTTCCCCCTTCCTTCCTCTCCCTTTGTTCCCTCTCCTCCATCCCTATCCCTCCCCCTCGACCCACAATAGAGCAAGACGCTGGACCCGGAGGGCGATGCGAATCTGCGGAGGGGGTACCACGCGAAGCTGGTGGAGCAGCTGCGCATCCAGCCCAAGCACATCGTCGACCTGGGCTGCGCGTCCGGCCTCAGCACCTTCGCGCTCGCCGAGGTAAGCATGCATGCCGCCATGCGCGCATGTTTCCATGCAAGCCTCGTGTGAGCCTGCTTCCAGCCCAAGAGCGTCGACGACCTGGACTGCGCGCCCGGCCTCAGCACCTTCACGCTTGCCGAGGTAAGCCTGGGCCCAAGAAACTTCTTTCTGTAGCGCTCTTTTCAAACATCCGTCTTGTGCATTCCTTCCGAGTCCCTCGCCGCTTTGCCTTCGTGCATTCAGGGATGCTGGTGCGGGCGCTCATTCCCCTGCTGCTCATGCTGCTCACTTGACTCTCCTGCACAGCGTCAACTGAAGGGCCCCTTGGCTCTTCCTTCATCTTCGTCCGGTTCTCCCTGTGCAGACCTTCCCTGAGGCCGAGTTCGTCGGAGTGGACCTCTCGCCTTACTTCGTTGCTGCATCCAACTACAACGTCCGGGAGAAGAGCAAGCAAGCGGTGAGCTTTGAAACGCTTCATGTAAGGCGAGCATGCCCCTCTCTGTCCTCATTGCACGTCACAGGAAGAGACGTAGTGTGGTACGTCTCTCAGGTTAACTCGTTGATCTGTCACGCCTTGTCCTTCTGGATCCAAGTGCTGGCCCCAAATGCTAATTCTCGAATTTTCGCTCCACATCACGCACCCTGAACTCCATTCCCAATGCTTCATTCCATAGGCGCCTCAAAAAACGAACATCTCACTCCACGATTCCCCCTACACCCTCCTAACCTGGCAGGGGCACGAGCTGCCCTCGCATACACTTTTGAGGCGCTATGGTAGCTCAACGTACTCCTTCAAACCCATCTCAACCCCTCCCAACCCGGCAGGGGCGTGAGCTGCCATTCACATAAATCCATGCAGCGGCGCAGGACACAGGCCTGCCTGCTGGCTCCGTGGTGCCACGAACTGCCACTGACGTACTCCCTCCAAACCCATCCCAACCCCTCCCAACCGTGCAGGGGCGCGAGCTGCCATTCACGTTCATCCATGCAGCCGCGGAGGACACGGGTCTGCCTGCTGAATCCGTGGACCTGGTGTCCATCTGCCTCGTGTGCCACGAGCTGCCGCGGTCAGCCACCAAGAAGGTGAGGAGCGAGCAATGCGTGTGCGGGTTGGAGAGAGGGAGGCAGGCATGTATGCGTGTAGGTGTGGAAAAGGCACCCCAGCAGCACCAGAAGAGGGGCCTGCGGGCTGGGTGGGTGAACCTGGTGTCCAGATGCCCCATGTGCCACGAGCTGGCACGATCAGCCAACACGACACGAATGTCAGGGCGTGGGTGTGTGCACGTGTTAGAGAGAGGCGTGAGAGGTGTGAGGCTTAAGAGGGGTGTGCATGGCTGTGCTGTGAGTGGCAGAGGAGGCTGGGCTCCCTTCCATCCTCTGCCGTGGACGTGTAATCCATCCGTCTGTCTGGCTGCTGTCTGTTGAACACCATCACTCAGCTCAGCCCCTAGGAGCGTACACGAGTGTGCTACAGGGTGGCTCCCTGGACAGTCACGGTGGGTAGTGTGTGGTTGCCACTGAATCCATTGAGGCTTGACACAGGGGAGCCGATGGCTGATAATGCACCTGCTGAGAGGCTCGAGATGTCAGGTGTTATTGGACTCCTTGTTTTTGAAACCGCGTTTTCTCAACCATCTCCGTGCACTACTCAGATTATCAACGACGCACCTCAAAGTCTGGGGGAAAGGGGTTGACTTGAGGCACCGCAAAAACCTTCTTCCTGAACCCACTGCACCATGACCCTGACCCATGACCACTGCACAGATCATAGAGGAGGCGCATCGCATCTTGAGGCCAGGGGGCGCGTTTGCAGTGATGGAGATGAACCCACGGTCGCCCTTCTTCCAGAAGATCTCCAACAACCCCTTCACCTTCGCTGCGGTGTGTTGGTTGTGCTGCTGTGCTGCTCTGTGCTGTGTGCTCTGTGATGTGTGCTGTGTGCTCTGTGATGTGTGCTGTGTGCTCTGTGATGTGTGCTGTGTGCTCTGTGATGTGTGCTGTGTGCTCTGTGATGTGTGCTGTGTGCTCTGTGATGTGTGCTGTGTGCTCTGTGATGTGTGCTGTGTGCTCTGTGATGTGTGCTGTGTGCTCTGTGATGTGTGCTGTGTGCTCTGTGATGTGTGCTGTGTGCTCTGTGATGTGTGATGTGTGCTCTGTGATGTGTGCTGTGTGCTCTGTGATGTGTGCTGTGTGCTCTGTGCTGTGTGCTCTGTGATCTGTGCTTTGTGCCATGTGCTGTGTGCTTCCTCCAAAGGACCATCTACCTGTTCTTCTACTCTAGACTCCCGTTCCCTCCACTACCCTTCTCTCCAATTCTCTTCTCTCCACTTTTCTTCTCTCCACTTCCCTTTCTCTACTCCTTATCCTCTCCATTCTTCTTCTCACAACCCCCGTTCTCTCCACTCCTCCCGCCTCTTTCCACCATTGCATCACCTACAGTTCAAGGCAACGGAGCCATACCTGGATGACTACCGCACATTCCCCATCGAGGATGCCATTGCAGAGAGAGGCTTTGAGTACCCACAGCAGATGGAGAGCAGCCCTCGCCACCGTTGCATTGTTGCCCCCAAGCTGTAGGGATCTAGTATATGGCCTGGAGTATGGAGCAATTGTGTATTGCAAAGTGTAGTAATAAAGGGGGCGAGGCTTATCCAAATTGGTATTCCTTGGGAAACAGGCGTCAGAATTGCTCACAGTGGTTTCCTTAGAGTCACAACAATCACACTGGGTCACGGCAATGCAGCAGCATTGCCAGCCCCTTCAAGACCAGTTAAAGGGAAGGATAAAAGGATGATACGGTAAGAGCTAATCGAGAAAACACCAGCCGTGTGCACAGTACTCCTGCACCCCTTGCTAGCCAAGTTCGTTGCACAGGCTACAACTACAACCAGCCTTCTCATTGTCATGTTTCCTAACACAAATATACACGGTAATCAAACTTGTAACAGAAACTTTGAAACCACAAAATCCTATAGCAATGCAAATGCATCTTCTAGGCTAGCAGCATGGGAGTGTCAAATGCAAGGCCCAGCAGCGTCGCTTCAGATGCCTTCAACCGTTTGATACTCTCCTCCAGCCGAGCCCTTCGCTGCTGATCCACCGCCTTGAGAGCCGCTATCTTGGAAATGTCCCCACCATGAATTTCCCTCCACACAGCAGTGTCAGTATCATCGAGGAGAGAGGTCTCAAGGCACATGCGAATCTCCACGGGGATCGCATCACACAGCCGCTTGTGCATCACATTGGCATACGAGAACATGTTGATCTGTAGGTCCCTTGCTGCCTGATCGTCATTGCTGATCAGGTTGGTCAGCGAAGCAGTGCTGGAAGCGAAATCTTCAACAGAGGGTACAGAAGGGGGGACTTGAAATTGTGCTTGGTGGTATGCCCTGGCTTTCCTGTAATCGGCCATCTTCACATGGATTTTAGAGACCGTATCCATGTAGTAGTGGTTGAGCGTGAAAATCACCTTCCGTTCCTTCTTCAGCGTGTCCTGAACAAAGCGGTTTGCAGACTCTTTGGCCTCCCTCAGAGCATTGAGCCCTTGCAGGTGAACCACGTTGTTCAACCCAGGATATATCCCGCAGGCATGAGACGCCACAGCCTGCTGCACCTCGGTTGGATACGCAAAGCAGTCATTCACCAGGAGCAAGCACAGCCCTTCGATGCTATCCACCACCTCCTGAACCAGCTGTCCTACCACAACCTGATCCAGCATGTTCGGTAGTGAAATCCCTGCCACCTCTTTCAACGCCTCTTTACACCTTTCAGTGTATTCTTTTCCAAGGAAATTCGGGAGAGCCTCGCGCATCTCAGCCTCGAACTTGTTGAACCTCTCGTGTAGCCTCGCAGCATAGTGCATCTCCTCGTCACTCTGGAACGAACCATACCTGCCGCTAATGACGCCACTCATCAGGTCACGTCGCTGCTGAATTGCAGAAGAAATCACGCCCAGAGCTGCAGCACTGGACGTGGCTGCAAGCGGGATTGTCTGCAATTCAGATTCCTTTGCAGCGTCTTGGCCATCCAATGGTGTTGGCCATCCAATGGTGTTGGCCATCCAATGGTGTTGGCCATCCAATGGTGTTGGCCATCCAATGGTGTTGGCCATCCAATGGTGCTGGCCATCCAATGGTGATGGCTGTATCGTAAATTGGGTCAAGTTGAAAGGCGTTTTTCTCGCCAATGAGACAGTCTTAGGATGCCTCCAATCTTTATTCCATTTGCCCATGCCCTTGGGTTTGAGTCTGTTGCTCTTTTACCATGCCTCTTCTTCCCATGTGTCTCTGCTCTGCCTCCCATCCCATGTGTCTTTGCCTCGCCTCCCATCCCATGTGTCTCTGCCACGACCATCAGTTGAAATCCAACGGTGTGCGATCAACCTCATGGCATGTCTTGACGCCACCCCTCGGTGCTACTTCTACCGGGCCTCCACCTTCTCCTGCAACTGCTCCAACCCTCAAACGCGCCACTGGACCTGCACCCCACTCCAATGTTCGTTTCACCACCCACCACCCCGCCCCTCCCCTTTTGCACTTTTCAGTCGACCAAAAAACGTTTCACCACCCACCGCCCACCACCCCGCCCCTCCCCCTTTGCACCCCTCCATCCAACCCTCATTCCCTCCTTCCGTTTCTTCCTCACTCCTTTCTAACGTCTGCTCGTGCTCCCACCACCTCCACATCATTCCCATTCGTTTCCCATACCCTTCTTCCTCCTGTGCTGCCAATCAAATCCTGCAATATCTGAGGCATCTCAACTCCTGTGCTGCCAGGAGGATCATGCGTTTATCTCCTTTCTCACTGTCGCCAACTACCATTTCCCGAGCTCGAATATCCCGCCCCATCCTATCACTCAGACTCGTCGTGCTCAGCTTCCTTCTCTTCGTTCCACACACTTCCACCTCTCCGTCACCACATCAAAACCCTTTCCATTTGAGCTCTCCCTGTGCGCATGCCGTGTCCCTGCCCTCTGCCTGCTCATCCACATATCTCTAGGAATCAAGATAAAGGTGCCCTGTCCAAACGTGCCTGTCCCCCTCCCACCCTTGCCTCCAAGCCAGCAGAGACACGGACGTGCCAGCAGGCGGGTGTGTGCATGGATCATGCATGGAGTGTGGTGGAGCAGCAGACGGACCTGTTCTTATTCCCCCCTCGTACCCCCCTCAATGCTAACCAATCTTTCCTCACATCCAGGCAGCAGGGTGCACGGGCATGGCAGCAGGGTGCACGGGCATGGCAGGTGGGCTTGTGAATGGAGGCTGTCCGTCAGAACAATACAGCACTCACCAGTACCTGCCCATCCCACCCCGTGGTCTGTCTGTTTTTGAGTCGACTCAAAAGCAGGCGGGCCTGTGAATGGAGGCTGTCTGTCAGAACAATACTGCGCTCAACAGTACCTGTCCATCTCATCCCACCCCTAGGTCTGTCCCCACCCCTTGGTCTGTCCCCACCCCTTGGTCTGTCCGCACCCCCTCTCACAGGTAGGCAGGAGCAGCGTGCACGGCTGTGGTGACAGCAGCGTGCACGGCTATGGTGACAGCAGCGTGCACGGCTGTGGTGACAGCAGGCGTGGGCTTGCCATTAGTGTGGCAGAATTTGAGGCGCCTCAAAAGCTTGCCATAGCGAAATAGAAGCACCCGTTCATCCATACCGGCATGCCTTACCCCTCTCACACCCCTCTCACACCCCTCTCACACCCCTCTCACACCTCTCACACCCCTCTCACACCTTGCTCAACGCCACCCCACGGCCCTTCGCAGTTAGGTCAGCAGACTGCATGGACGTGCAGGCGATGGTGTGTGCGCCGGGCGTGTGTGTGGACGATGGCACTCGCCTCACAGGCTGCCAGTGTGCTGCTGGATTCACCCCACTCAACGATTCCTCCACCTTCCCCTACCCCTACTGTGTTCCTCAACCTGGTCAGCCCTTATTCTCCCCTCCTCATCTGCATTACCCCCTTCAAGTCTATTTCCGAGGTGCCTCAAAAACCTCCCCTACTGTGCTCCTCAACCTGGTCAGCCCTGATTCTCCCCTCCTCATCTTCATTGCCCACGTCCCCTTGCTCATGCTGTTGCGAGGATCATGGCCTCACTCAAGAGAATAATGGTAATTGTCAACGCGTGCTTGTCCTTGCCTCGGGGGCTCTGGTCGTCACGTGCTTCAGGGGCTCTGCAATAGTGTGTGCTGTGCTGCCCGTCAGGATATGCCCTGCATGCTCTACTGCACTGCCAGCCTAAGCACGCCGCACCGCATTGCTCAACCTCTGTGAAAATTCGCCCTTGAGTTATCACTCATCCCTCAACCGTGCCTCATCCCCCAACCGTGCCTCACCCCCCAACCGTGCCTCACCCCCCAACCGTGCCTCATCCCCCAACCGTGCCTCATCCCCCAACCGTGCCTCATCCCCCAACCGTGCCTCATTCCCCAACCGTGCCTCATCCCTCATGCCCACAATCCAAAACTCAACAGCACCCCCCTCGGCACCGGCGCCACCTCCAAAGGACGCATGTGCACTGCTCCAGGCGAACTCATGCCTGCCCGGCGCCTGTGTGAGCAACTCCTCAGCTGCCCCCGGCTACACCTGCCGCTGCCCCACTGGCTATGAGCAGGCCACGCTTGCGGGCAAACCGACGTGCGTGGGTAAGCGTTTTCGGGGAGAAGGGAGGGGGTGGGGGGGTTGAAGCTTTGATAAGATGTCTGAAAATTACACTTCTTTCACGGGAAGGAGGGAGGGGCGGGCGGGGTGAAGGTGCATGTGGGAGTGGGTCTGCAAGCTACACGCTGGCAGCCTATGCACGCCACATTGCTCAACCTCTATGCAAACTCGCCCTTGAGTTATCACTCATCCCCCAACCGTGCGTCATCCCTTCTGCCGACAGATTGAAACTCAACAGCACCCCATCTAAAAAATGTGGGTCTTAAAAATGGCAATTTAAGGCCATAATCGCCATGAATATGGCGGGTTTATGGCCTTAAATTGGCCGGCTGTACGCAGGTTGGTTCGTAGGCGTTTGGGGCCCGTGAATTGCCCGGCTGTACATTGACTAGAACAGCCATTCATGGCCCGTTCTACATTGTCGTACATGGCCATGTATGGTCGTGTATTCGAGGACTGTGTATATGCATGAATCGACTGCCTATAAATGCAACTTAAGGGCAGGCGCATTAATGGCCCTTAATTTGAGGACTATAAATTTCAATGTATTGACAGCGTATAGAATGACAAAACCGGCAGGAGCTTGATAGAAAAGTATTTACAATTGCTCTTGTTTCGTGCCTTTTTTATATGTTCTGAACATGGTTGTATTAGTGGATATTTCATTAAACAAGTAAATACATTTGACAGATCCATATACTGATCTACACATGATACACAGCTACATAAGCTAGTAGGAAGACAGCAGGTCCGGTATTTCAGTCATGAAATAGATCCACCTGCACAAGAAACAATGCCACGGAAATAAGTGCTTGTAACATAAAACAACACTTACATAGCGTGCTGGTAACTGTGTGATGCCATCGACTTGTAAAAAATAGCGCCAGATACATGCAGGACCTGCGAACATTAAAACAAACTTACAAACGCAACACCTGCCACACGAATCAACCAATGAGATTAGAATTGCCGCATAAGCATGAAGGGCGATAAAACACACGAACATGAGAAACTCTTCGAAAGACAGCGTGGGATTAGAACTGCCAGAAATACAGAAAAGGCGACAAAAGACACACGTCGGAATATGTCTTACACACAGCGTAAGTACGCCATAAATTCATAAAAGGCGACAGAAAAAACGATAAGAAGCTCTGCGACAGAAAGTGGGCATTAGACCCGAGTCGGCCAGGTAGTGTTCGAGCTGTGAACGGTAACTAGGACGAACAATCAACTTAAGTATTCTGACAGGCAACTAAGAGACGGGCGGCAGGAATAATAGGAACTGGAAAGCTAAGTGAGCATTGAGAAGAGAAACGGTGAGAAGAGAAATGGCGAGAACAAAAGTGGAGAGACGTGCAATAAGTCGATTCTTTGAGCATGAGGTGGTTGGGCGAGGTGGGTGGGTTGCTTGTTTGGAATGTGCCGAAGGTGGAGGGAGAGATTGCGTGCAAACGAGGGTGGCTCTCGATGGCTTGGGATTGGCTGGGATTGAGCTGCTGCTCAATCACAGGCACTTGACAGCTTCTTCTGGAATCACAAATCGCGCGACTCGAAGACTGGTTCTGGTGTGTGGTGCCTAGCACGCCCCAGGAAACCACAACCTACAGCATGCTGGGTGCGACACGAAAAGTTGATGGGAATCTTTTCGATCCCATTCGCCACATCAGCAGCAGAGAGACATTTCATTCGTTGAAACCGTTTTCAAGATGTGTGAAGATCCGTGAGGGTTATCGTCCAATGGGAGACTTCGTCGTCTTTTCTGACGCATTCAGATTCGTTTAGCGGGAAACCCAACAACTCAACAGTCGAAATGTATACCAGAAAATCCTTACTTCTTGTCACTAAATATATCTTAGCCTCATCAATCAAATTTGCAGCAACTACTACTACTCCTACTCCTACTCCTACTCCTACTCCTACTCCTACTCCTACTCCTATTACTGCTCCTATTACTGCTCCTACTACTGCTCCTACTACTATTACTACTACTACTACTACTACTACTACTGCTACTACTATTAGTACTACTACTACTACTACTATTACTACTACTACTACTACTACTACTACTACTACTACTACTACTACTAGTAGTACTACTATCACTACTACTACTATCACTACTACTACGACCACAACAACGACAACGACAACGACGACGACAACGACAACGACAACGACAACGACAACGACAACGACAACAACCACAACAACAACCACAACAACAACAACAACAACAACAACAACAACAACAACAACAACAACAACAACAACAACAACAACAACAACAACAACAACAACAACAACAACAACAACAACAACAACAACAACAACAACAACAACAACCACAACAACAACAACAACAACAACAACAACAGCAACAGCAACAACAACAACAACAACAACAACAACAACAACAACAACAACAACAACAACAACAACAACAACAACAAC